ACAGCTCACTGTCTTATCTGCATGCCTACTTACCTCTGCCTGGAAGCCTCCTGGAAAGCAGGATCCATTTCGTACTTGTCAAAGTATTACCAAAGCTTAACATAAGGCCTCACACATAATAAGGTTCAAGAAATAATTAATAAAAGAATGACTCTGGGAAGAGGAAATTGTCCAAATAGTGCCCAAACTAAGGTTTGGCCTAAGGAGCTCCTGGAACTCCCAGCTGTAAGCCAAATCTCTTTTGTGTGGCAGATCAGTCAGTCTTTCAGTGCCACGGTGATCAAGCCTCCCATCCTGGACACCATAGGGTTGGAGTGGAAAGGGGAGACAGAGACCTGAGCATTGGATAACTTGCTGCCTCAGTAGCTAAACAGGATTCGGATCCATTTGATGCAACATTAGAATACTTAACACAGTAGCTTCTAAGTGCAAATTAAGGGAAAGTGACTGCAAACCAAAAGGAGATAAAGAGCAATCCATGGGTACCCTGGCAGCTTTCACCTCCAAATGTTCAACATTGGCTTGTTTGTTTCTTGTTGAAATCAGGATTGCTTCCTAAAGGAGGTTAGCCTAGGTGTTGCCCCAGCTCCCCTGAGAGACTTCCTGCTATCCCAGAGCTGCGGAACCACAGACAGGGCCTGTGACAGAGGGCCAGTCCTGCTCCTGTCACAGGGATCCACACAGAGGCTGGGAGCCAGATGAGGGTGATTGGCATCTTCTTGCTTGGGAACAGTGACTAGGAAAATGTGAAGAGGAGCAGGCAGCAGCAATGTGAGCATAGCCCATTTGGAGTGAGGAGTAAGCAAGTGTGGGGCTTGGAGAAGACCCATGCTGGAGATCCTGGGGTGATGGCGGTGGTAATTTTTACTTCCCTAATAGATGCAGAGCATTTGAATGTTGCTAATTAGCAGAACAGCAGGCTTGTAATTCTGACAGCAGCAGGACATGAATGGGGTGGGACTAGCACTGAACGCCAGAGAAGTGTGTCTTTGTCCATAAGATAAAACACAGCATTCATGTTGGGTCAGGTCCATTAGGGAGCCCCCGGGTTCTTTCTTTTCCTGCAGTAACCGCAAGAGGCCAGGGGCTTTTATTTCTCCCAGGCTTTCTTTAGAGGTAGCAAGGGGCGTGGGGTTTATAGTCTATTAGTGCCATCAAATATACCTTTATATCAGAGAGAGAATTCAGGCCTGCCTCCTTCATAGTGTGATGCCCCCGGAAGTTCTCCCGTCACTAGTCTCTCACTTTGGTAACTTGGCTGTCTGCAAAATGGTGTGATGTGCCCTGAGTATTCCAATCTCTAAATTGATTCCTGGGGAAGAATGGACTGGAAGGCCAGGGTAGAGTTGTTCTGTCTTCCTGAAGTGCACTGAATCATGTCAGGAAATTGGTTCTTTCAAAGCATACTGATCTGATAATCTGAGGATCTCAAAGGCCAATAAATATGAGGAAAAGGTTTAAAAAGTCTCAGAATACTAGAGCTGAGGGGTACCCTGGAGATCATCTGCTCAGATCACTAGCATTTGGTGTGACAGATGAGGCCACTGACCTTGTGCAAGTCACTTTAGGAAAGGTTAACATTTCATTCATATATTTATTTTGTCATCAAATATTTATTGAACATTTACTGTGAGTCTGTGCAGACATATACCTAGTAGTGAAAACATTTTGCTATTTCATTGGTTCTGTTTGAGTTAGTGTTCAATGAAGTTCTCCTTTCTTACAAATTATGTATGACAACTGGTTTCACAAGGGCCATGGGGTTATTGATACATAGGACCTTTAGCCAGTGCAAATAGGTTTTCTGTGCAAGGTCACCAACTTCTGAGCTGCTAGACTAATTAGTTTAGCTCTATTTGGCTTTACATAATACATACATTGTTGAAATTTATTTGTAATTCAGTTTCTGGCAAATAAGAAACTAATTCAAACCACTAAGACAACTTTTATTTAAAGAGACCCTGGAGCACATCCTTTTATAATGTGAAAAATGTTGTTGCTGTTGGAAATGATTATCCTTTAGTTAGGGATTTTGTAAACCTGGACCCTTTAGGCTTTCTTACGGTTGGACACACAACCTAGGAGATAGCTCAGCTGTGGTCTGAACTGGCCTGGGAAGAGAAAGGACCCTCAACCCCCTGCCAGGAATCATAGACCACCCAACCCAAAATAGTGACATTTACATGGAGCAATAACTGCAAGCTGCCTGGACAAGCTGCTCCTCTTCTCTCAGGCCTTGGAGTCTGGAGTGGAGAAGGAGGAGGTGGGGCTTGATGAGTGGGGTCTGCAGAATGGAATTCCAAGCTCTCTCTCTCTGTCTCTCCACAGGTGGGAGGTGGCAGGATGGGTAACCTTTTGCTTCTGATATAGCATTTTCTTCCTTAATTGTCTGGTAACTGTGTGGAAATTAGAACCATCTTGTATACTTCCCCTGTGGCTCAGCTGGTAAAGAATCTGCCTGCAATGTGGGAGACCTTTTATTCCTGGGTTTGATCCCTGGGTTGAGAAGATCCCTTGGAGAAGGAAAAGGCTACAGCGACTTTCACTTTCTGCATACTTTAACATGGTAGAGCAGGAGAGGAACAACAGTGGAAAAAAATAGGACAAGAGTTTAGGAAACAAGAGGGTTATGTGGATTGTTGTTATACAGTAGTATCTCATTAGTTTGGGTCTTGCTGTTTTTGAACTTGTAAAGAATCTGGAAGGACACAGAACTGAAGTTTAAATTTTCTTATTAAATTTTTTTCTCTAGAAATTAATAGTGTATGTAGTGATGTCAAGGAGAGTATTTTAAAACTGATGTATAGAAAGATGTATTCTATATATGAAAATAAAACTTTTGATGCAGATGTATCATTCTATGCGTGTAACTCATGTGTTAAAGATGATCTCTGTCTAACTGATAAAGTCTAATAGGCTCTTCCTTGCCCAAGAAACTGAAGCTTATTCTTATTGCATCATGGTGAAAAATTATCTATGTATCTATTTGTAATTTTTTACAATAATTTATGTTGATCCTTGGAGAAGGCAATGGCAGTCCACTCCAGTGTTCTTGCCTGGAGAATCCCAGGGACAGAGGAACCTGATAGGCTGCAGTCCATGGGGTCACGAAGAGTTGGACACGACTGAGCAACTTCACTTTCACTTTCCACTTTCATGCACTGGAGAAGGAAATGGCAACCCACTCCAGTGTTCTTGCCTGGAGAATCCCAGGGACAGAGGAGCCTGGTGGGCTTCCATCTCTGGGGTCACACAGAGTCGGACACAACTGAAGCGACTTAGCAGCAGCAGCAGCACGTTGATCCTCATTACTTTCTACTGGTGAGGTTTAATAGCTTTCCTTTGTTGGAAGATAAAGTCAGAGCATAAAGATCAGTAGAAACAAAGATAGAAAGTACAAAAAGTTCTATAGTTAGAACTTTCTTTTTATGGTGTTATTTTTTTTTTCCTCTATTGCCCACAGTCTTCTCAAAGTGAGCCTTGCAGCTGGTTACTTCAGCATCAGCTGCTCTGGGTCAGCTTGTAAAGAGAAGCAACTGATGAGCAAAAAGCATCACTGTCTACATTTAGTGAAAAATGAAAATGAAGAAATAGATGGAAGGGTCAGAGATCCTTTGTAAATTTGTAAATTTGTCTTGGGCTAGTATATGACCTCTTACCATGGACACTGGCATTCTGGGGCTGCTTCTCCTCTTTGGTTGAGTGTGCAACTGTCTTATTTCCCTTCCCTCGGCAGTGACCTTAGTCCTGGGGTGTTGCCAAAATTCTCAACAATTTTGAATGCTTGAAATAGTCAGTGTTTAGAAATTGAGACGCCTTGAGCAAGACCATCCTGCTCAGCATGTTTCTCCCCTTTGTAGATTATCAGGTTGGGAGCACAAGGGAGAAAACCAAGTGGAGAAAGGCACTTGAAGAGGTGTCCATGGTCTCTAACTCTGTCCCACTGAGCCCACACAGGGCTGCCTTTCTTCTGGGGTCCCTCTGTGTCATGTTCCTGGAGGTGGTACACAGCAGAAATTCCATTTACAGCTTGCAAGGCTCTGAGTGTGGGCTGGCTCTCCCTGAGAGTCCTCTGGGGTACTCAGGATAAATGACAAGGGGCGGTGAGATGGCCTGGAGTTTGTATGTGTGCATGTATAAGCTGAGTCCTCCCTTCCCACACATCTCACACCAGGCTGGGTTGTCCTTTGCTTCCTGAGGCTGCTGTTTCTCCAGGCACATTGTTATTTTCTATTCTGTGTGAGCCCCAGGCCTCTGCCTTCAGCCTCCTAACAGGATCTCAACTGGACCCCAGAAATGACTTTCCACCTGAGAAATGAGACTTAGGCAGAGAGTGAGTTGTGAAGAAGGGAGTGCATTTGCTTCCCGTGGAATTGACATTGTTCATCAGTTGTTCATTGTAGACTGATGACAGTGACACTGAAGGGAAGGGAGAAGAGGTGGAAAATGGTATTGCACTCGACTTAGATGCTCACTCGGGAATTTTCACTTTTTCAGTCTGTAAAATGAAGACTAGCAGTTGCTATGGCACATAGAGAAAAAAGCAAAAGGAATTGTTTAGGGCATTGTGGTCCATCTTGATGTTAACTTGGCCTGTTGAACAGATATTTACTGAGTGTCTAGTGTGTAACGTTCACTGTGTACCAGCTACTGTGCTAGCACTGGAAGTACAAAAACGATTTCCAAAAAGCCCCCATCTTCAGGTTCACAGCAATGGGACTGTAGTTTTGCTTCCAGGACATGGTATTTTGTGTATATTTTGCCCGGGTGACTTGCACTGTCCTCTTCTTGAAAAGGACCCAGAGGGGCATACTCTTGGTTATCCCTGTGGACTGGCATCATGTCAAAGTGTCCTTTCTGTTGTGGAGCCTCTCCTACTCTTGGGCTAGGCTGTGCATCATTTTCTGCCCCATGAGGGGATTGAAAAGCTAAGGGGGAACCCAGGGATTCAATCTTTTGACCCCTTTCACTCTGATTCCTTCTGTTTTGTTCTCTGACAGGCTCTTTTCGGAATGATGGTTTGAAAGCTTCTGATGTCCTTCCCATCCTAAAGGAAAAAGTGGCCTTCGTGTCTGGTGAGTGTCTATGCAAGTTTCCTCTGTTACAGACCTAGAGAAGTTTGTGTATGTGTGTGTTGTGAATGTGTGCAGGCACGCACCTCTTTGTGTGCTAATGAGAAAGAGGTGGGGGTGTAGGTGATGGTCAAAGCTGCTCCTCTCTCCAGAGGCAGGCAGAAAGGGAAAAGAGCACTTTGGTCCCCACTGGCTGTTCTGGAGGACATTAACAACCAAAGGTGGGTCCGTCATGCACCCACCCACATCCACCTCACCTTGCGCTACCCTTCCAGGCCTGTGAGGCCTGTGGGAGCTGCTGAGGCCCCTCTGAGAGATGCAAGGGTCTGTCCCCTTCACACCTTCCACAGGTTTTATTTAGGTTTGCCTCTGAGTGGGTCAAGGACAAGAGATGTAAATTTTTTTCTGGCTCTTTCTTATCTCTTTTTCTAGCAAAGGGAACTCAAGTGAGTATTTGTATCTATTTTTTGTTTTTCTGAATAATATTCATTTCTGACTTTTATCTATAGCATATCTTGTGCACCCAGTCCTTTTAATGTCTAATTCAGGGATCAACAAACTATAGCCTGTGTTTTGCTTCAGGCCAGGCACTTGTTTTCGCAAATAAAGTTTTATTGGAACATAGCCCATGCGCATTCATTTAGTAGTGTGTTAGCTTCTTCTTGCCACAAACATGGTGGCTTACAACAATAGACATGTATTCGTCCACAGTTATGGAGGCCAAAAGTCCAAAATCAGTTTCCTGGACTGAAATCAAGATGTGAGTAGGGCTGTGCTCCCTCCAGAGGTTCTGGGGGAGAATTTGATTCTTGCCTCTTTTAGCTTCTGGGGGCTGCCAGCATCCCTTGGCCTGTGGCCATGTCACTCCCATCTCTGCCTCCCTGGTGGGATTGCCTTCTGCTTTTCTATTTGTGTCAGATCCTTCTGCCTCACAGTAAGGATACCTGTGAACTGCACTTGGGGCCCACTCAGACCACCCAGGATAATCTTCCCATTTCTAGAGCCCTAACAATCACTATCTATAGAAACTCTTTTTCCAAATAAGGTAACATTTACAGGTTCCAGAGATTAGGGCTTGATATGCTTGGGGGCCATTATACCAGTGTTGTCAATGGTTGCCTTGTTGCTGTAATAGCAGAGTTGAGTAGTTCTACCAGTGACCAGATGGCCACAGGCCTAAAATATTTACTGTCTGACCCTTTAAGAAAAAGTCTGGTAACTGCCAATGTAATTGAAACTGAACTATGAGGTGTACCAGCATCACTATGGGTGCCAGTTCTAGGCCATCAATATAGGCCTCCTGGCTCAGAGTCTCTAGCAGGGGCTGGGGGAATGGCAGTGTGAGTAGCCAGGGATCACATTAAAAAAAAAATACACCCAAGTACTTAAGCTTCATGGATTGAACATTTGTTTCTGGATGATTCTGGCCGTCTACAAGGAGTGACAATGGAATCACAGGGAAAGAGCCAGCACAGGCCTTCTGTGCAGGGGCTCACTCCATAGGCACTGCTGGGTTACAGCCAAAATGGAGAGAAGGTGTCTCCCACCTGAGCGGAGGGGAGATTGATAACTCAGTGTAGGGATGGGAAGTGAAGGCAGAGTGTGTGATGGGAGTAGTCAAGCCTTTGTAAGTACTAAGTGCATTCTATATTATTAGTATTACTAGTAGCAGTAGTAGTGGTACCCTGGTGGCTTCGACGGTAAAGAATCCACCTGCAATGTGGGAGACCTGGGTTTGATCACTAGGTTGGGAAGATCCCCTGGAGAAGGGCATGGCAACCCACTGCAGTATTCTTACCTGGGTAATTCCCATTGGCAGAGGGACCCGGCAGGCTACTGCAGGTTATAGTCTGTGGGGTCGCAAAGAGTCAGACACGACTGAGCGATTAAGCACAGCAATATAGTGGTAATAATAATATAGTGTTTTGCTACTGTTTTTGCTGTTAGAGAGAGTGGCTGGGAAGCTGCCTTTCTCCATTAGCATTAGGCACTGGTATATCTTATTAGGTAATGAGCCCCTGTCACTGAAGAAGCTGAAGCTCAGGCTGGATCCTTGACTCGATCACGTGGCAGCAAGTTCAGTATAGGTGGAGAAAGAAGACAGCCATTCATGGACTTGGATCTGAGTGCTCACTGAGCATTTTGGGAAGACCTTGTGTAGAAGTCTTGGGGCTGCTGGGCAGCACCAGGGCTCTGACCTCTACTGCTATCCATCATCTGGGCTCCCAGGACATGGCCCACAATCTCTAGGGAGCCAGAGCATTTCTCTTCCTCTTCTTTAATGCCTTGAGCCTGTTTAACCAGGTGTTCTACCTCTCCCCAGGTGTCCTGCTCATTCTTCCATTCTCTTATGCCTGATGCTCCCTCTATCTGCAGTGCCTTTCCCATACCTTTGAGCTGTTGCTCTGCTTCCCAAGTCAGTTCCCACTTTGCCTCCTCCTGGAGGCCATCCTGGTTTTAATGCGTACCCTCTGTCTGAGCACCATCCTGTTGCACAGCAGTTCAGGGCAAGTGAATGCAGACATGTTACAGTCTGACACTGGGACCCTTGCTTGATTGTTTGTGGCTTACTTTTTTCCCATATGAGCCCTGGAGCAGGGTCCAGCCAGCCCTAGAAAAGAGCTTTCCAAGTGTCAGAAGGTGTCCTCAGGGTGTACAGAGCAGCAATGTGCCAGAAAGATGGTCAGTCAAGTGAGAGGCAGGTAGCTGCTTCCCAGAGCGGGACCAAGGGAGCCAGTGGGCAACTCGTGCCCATGTGTCCACGTGGGGCACCCTTTCCCCTGGCAACCACAAGTCTGTTCTCTATGTGGGGTGAGTCTTATTCATTTGCAAGTGGTGCCAGGAACTTAGGGAGTGTTATCCTTCTGTGCCTGGTAAGGACACTGAGGGTGCCAGGGAGATGACTGGCTGCAGCTATGAAAAAAAACCCATACAAAAAACAAACCAAAAAAGGTGCTTGTACCCTAAGCTTTTAGAAGACCAAACACAAAAATAAAAATAAAGAAACCCTGAATTAAGTAATGCAGTGTAGCAGATCCATGTCTCTCTGAGAAGAAGCCCTGCTGGTGCCCTGGTGTGGCCAAGGCAAGGGGAAGCTGTGCTACCATGGGAACGTGCATTTGGAATAATCCAGGGCCCACCAGTGTGTGGGCGAGTGCACGTGTGTGCAAAGAATCTGCGACTGTGCTCGGGCAGCCTGCGTCATTCCAGCCCTGCCGCATCCTGCTCTGTGTTCTCAGCCGTGGGCTCTCCCTCTGCTCTCTCTCCAGCTTCCTTCATGTGCTTCTGCCTCCCACTTTCAGCACCCATTGTCCCTTCTCTCCAGCCTCCCTGTGCAGACCCCTTTCACCCTGTTCTGTGTGTGTGCTCACACCCTCATCTGGCTCCTCCTGATGTCCCTCTTTGCCACCTTATCAACCATCAGCATCATGCCCATTGTTCTCAGAGGAACTCCACACTGCTGTGGCACCACCGTTTATACTCTGGACCAATGTTGCAAAGCATGTTCCATAGAACAACAGGTACATGAAATGATCCTCAAAAAAGAAAAAAGGGCTTACTCTCAAGTAAACTTGGGTAATGCTGCCTATTGTAGCCACCTTCTTGGAGACTGTCCATTCAAAACATGAAAGCATTTCCCAAAATACAAATAACACATTCTCTTAAAAATACCCTGTGTATCCATCACGCATCTTGCAGAACTATAGTTGTATGGGCCAAACTTTTGGTATGATTCCCTAGAGGTGTTTTTCTTGTCCTCCTCCAAAATTACCCTAATCTACTTGTTCCCACTGGAGACTGGTTCCCCCTGAAAAATATGAGTGCCATCTTCCTCCACCTCAATCAGCAAAGCCTTAACTTCCCTTGCCTTTGAATTTGCCTCCTACCTAGCCCTGTCCTGCCCTGCTTTTGCGGAAGGAAACTAGTGCCTTTTCTAGCACATCAAACCACTCCCTCCCTATTTATCCTCTATATTCCCATCCTCTATTCCCAGCACCAAAGCCTCAATTAACTGGCAAACAGCAGGTGTTGGATAAGTAAGGGGATGGTGCTGCTGAAGATCCTGCCACCATCTCTATCATCTTTTCAAAACTTTGCTCTTTTTGTCACCACTGTCTGGGGCCCACTCCACAATGCACCTTGACTTTAGCAAAGGGTTCTCATTCTTTGTCTCTGCTTAGTGCCCTCTGGAACCTCAGCACTCATGTTAATTATCAGTCAAATCCTACAGCTTCATGGCTCCTCAATCTCCTTGGCTCTGAAGTCTTCCACCTCCTTACTGTAGCTGTGCACATTCAAGACCTTGACCTTGATGTCTGTCTGTAGCCTTAGCTTCTTACCCATGACCACTTCTGGTGTTCCCCATCAGTTGGGGAAGTATGGATATCAGGTAAATAAAACATATGCTGTTCCCTTTCCTTTGAGAACTTACAAAGAAGCAGGCCCTTTTCCTTCCTCCCCAAGTTCTCCCCACTTAATCTATGCATTAGCTCTGTTCTGCCTTCGCTCAGGTTACAGCCTAGCATGGACACCATAGCCAGACCTTCAACAGAGCTCTCATTAAAGCCAGATACCCTGCCACCTACCCTTAAACCTACGTCACACCCAGTCCTGCTGTCCATTCTCTAGGAACACTCTCCAAAGATGGTCCATCCTCCTTTTTCCCAGTACCTCAAGCCTACTCTGACCTTCAACACTGTTTTACCTGGAGAAAGTGACAGGCTGAACTCTTTGTCTTTCTAACTTATGTCTGTTTTTTCCCTCCTCTTTGAGTCTACCACAGACAAAAGGGCAGGGCCTCTATCTTGTATCTGTCTTGATCCATCCCTTGTCTCCATTCTTTCCAGCACAGATTCTCTTCCTTTATGCCTGTTTCTCCTTTTCTTCCTACAATCTTGCAAGTTCATCTTCCATCTGAAAAATACCTGTCTTGGTCTTGCTGCCCACTCTGGTCTCCATATCCATTCATTTTTCCTGGAGGGAAGGGATTCCACTCCCCTGGGTCGTCTCCTCCGCCCTCCCCACCCCCCATCCCCTGCCACCACTCACCACCATCTGAAACCTTCTGTAGCCAAGATTATGAAACTCTTGTCTCCCAGGAAAGATCTGGCTTCTGCTCAGGAGGGACAATGCCCACATCCTTCCAAGCCTCTTAGGTAGTCTTTGCCATCACATCTACCTTGGCTCCCCATGTTCCCTTAGCTCTACTCTTAAACCATCCACAGAAGAAGGACAGTGAGAAAGGCAATAGCTGCAGTTAAAACCACCCAAGAGTGAAAATCTTTCAAGTGAGGTCAACACTGGAGGGGAAGGTTGATAGGGAGGGAGAACCTCCTAGCTTTGAGGAAACTTTCCACTTGATCCTGTTACTTCCTTTTCCCCCTGTGAAGGCAGTTGGGAGATGGAGATCATTTCCAAGGTAGATGAGATGAGATTGGTCATCCATATACAGAGCCCAGAGCCTGTGGTTTTTAAGGTTTGGAGTTGGGGGTTAGGATCCAACTCTGCAGTATGTGTACACAAATGTGGCTGGGTGGGGGCTGCAGGGAGAGGATGGTGGTGGTGAAGTATTTTTTTCTTCAGGGACAAATCCCTCAGTGGCCATGATCTTGTTTGACCTTCTCCTTGCAACCTTCTTATTTCTTCCTGAGGAGTATCCTGCAATGAGTTGGACTTTGTTTGTTGAGACTCCCTCTGTCTTGTGATTTTTGGACCCCACAATCAGAGGGAAACATTATTCATGAACTCATACTTGAGTGGGGTCCTGGGAGGCTTGGAAAGTACCCTTCTTCAAGGCGCTGACCTTTAAGCTTGTTTTCCAGTACTGGTGGTGGCCTTGCCAGCCCTTCCTCCCTCTTGCACTAGATCCCATTATGGACCTGCTCTGGGGGTGTCAGATGGTGGCCTGAGATCATGACAGTGTTTTCTTTGTGAAATAGCCAGTGCCTGTAAGGACACAGTTACTACACCTTGGCTTTGTCCTTATTTAACCTTCTTGAGAAACTTGGTCCTGCTTCCTAATCGTAGCATCCACTAATAAATAAATTTTTAATCACAGAATAAATCATGAGTAGAAAGTTTGGAAAATAGAGGAAAGAAAAAGCAACCATGTAAAACCCCAGCATCCTAATAGCAAACAATGATCATCATTGTGGTTACTCCTCCCTGCTTTTTTTTTAAACCAGATGTTTAGAAGACATTTGTAATCATAGTGTGTACATATGCATTTGCAGTGATTAAGACCTTGAGAATCCTATTTCCAATGAAGATTCATGGGCTCCTCCAGCAGGAGTGACAGGTGGCACTTAGGCAGGCAGGCAGGCAGAGATGGATCCTTGGCTGTGTAGACCACACCTTAGGTCTTTTCTATGAATCTAAAAACCTCCTAGCAATGATGTCCCAGCTGGATGCTTTAAGGGCTTCTCACCACGGTATTCAGTTAACCCTGAGCACTCTGCTCATAGAGGTCTGCAAAGAGAAGTAAACTGGAGGTTGAATTTCCAAAGACCATAGCACTTTCACTGGCTTGTTTTCTCAGTAAGAGCAACTATCACCTCCTTCATTATCATCTCCTATTTGTAGAGTTTCAAAGTGCTTTGCCATGTGCCATCTTATCAAGTCTTACAGCAGCCCTGTAATGTAGTCATTATTTTCATCTGCATTTTGCAGATGAGGCAACAGAGATGTCAAAAGACTTGCCCAAGGTCATGAGTCTAAACTCCATGCCCTTGCCCAAGGCAGTGACAAGATTTCTCTGGGCACCATCTTTCTGCCTGTTTTATCTAGCACTCAGGTGAATTCTTTTTCCTCTGTGGCACAGTTTCCAGCTGGTTTTTCTTAAACACCCTTCCCTTTTTCTCTGCAGGGGGCCGTGATAAACGAGGTGGACCCATCCTGACCTTCCCTGCTCGCAGCAATCATGACAGAATAAGACAGGAAGACCTGCGGAAACTGGTGACCTATCTGGCCAGCGTGCCAAGGTAAGGTGAATGTCCTGCTGGGAGAGAGGGGGAAGCTGGCCTGATGCAAGTGAGCTGGAGTGAGCCTCCATCCCTGCCAGGGGCCTGGCTGTTTCTGCCCTTGGAATGAATTCTAATTAGTTCTGTTACGTCAATACCTATTGTCCACCTCATTCCCATCATTCCCATTGTTACTGCTGGGATTCATATGAACAAAATGTAAGCTGGATGCCGGGAACCATGGGCAGAGGTGAAGGTCCCAGGCTTAGAGGACCAGGACAGGCCCTGGAACAGGTGACAGTGTGGCCTGGGGAGCAGGGATGGGAAGCCATTCTTTTGCCTTGGGGAAATGGAAATTCTGGCCGATTCCACTCCGGCTTGTGTAATGGATGTTTTCTAAAACTTCTGGCTTTTGAATAAGTTTGTGGCTTTTAGAGTTTAGGGCAAATAGCTCCACTTGTATCATTCAAGAGGCAGCCTTCAGCTCAATCTAGGTCATGCATTTTCAATGGGGGCAATATTGCCTCCAAGGGGGATGCAAATTGGTTCTTGTGTATGGCACACACACACACAAAAACTTTCATGTATTAAGCACAGCTAAATATATAGTGCGTAAACATATATACAATATATTCATGGTATTAAAATCTCATTGGGGGGTGATTAAGGAAAAAAGTATAAAAAGCCTCTTTTGTGGCAGGATGATGATTTAAAAGAATGATTGAGAAACATTGGTTTCTGAGTGTTTCTAGGTGGTGCTACACTCAGAGGGTGGCAAGGGAGACATGCTAGGGACATGGAATTTATCTTTTAAGAAGGTGGAGTTCTTTGCATGGTTAGAGAAATATGGAATGTGAGAGCCAGAAGAGCCCTGAGAAGTAATCCAAGCAAATATGTCGTGTTTTACTTAGGAAGCAACATCTGTATGGGATTGGAGTTGCTTCCGGGGTGGTGGTGGTCAGTGGCAGGCCTGGTTCAGAGCCCTCCTGACTCCTGCCCTAGTGCTCTCCCCATCCTTGTTCATGGTCAGTGAGAACTCTGTTCTCTGACTTAGTGGGTTGGAGCCTATCAAGTGTTTGTTGTGGCAAGTAAGAAGTGGTGCCTGGGGCTTTTAGAACTTTCATCTTGTCTCCCTGCATTTTATAGAGGAATCAGTAAATTGTACAGAGGAGCTCTGCCTTTGTGGGGAGACCTTGGATAATTGTTGAACGTGCTGATTAAGTTCTTGAAACAGATGTCAACTGAGGCAATCACTGCATTTGAAAGAGCTATGGGGGAGACACATGTACAAGGATTGGTGGATGGTGGTGGGCAGGTGGTAAAGGGGATTTCAGGGCAGTCATCAAATGCTTGGAAGGATGTTGAACAGAATGAAGAGCTCTGAGCTGTGAACAAAGAGATGTCGAATGGTGGCTTTTTTTTTTTCCTTTATGATATCCACAGAGAATCAGGAAAAAGGTAAGAGGTCTTAAGCTCCAATGAAATGGACTTAGATTATATCCAAAGAAGAGCTTCTAAACTATGAGTATAAGAGAGTTGGATAAAGAATAGAACAGAAGGGTTTTTTCCCCCTTAGGAGGTCTTTATACAGAAGAAAAATATTCCCATCTGTCTTGGAGGCAAGGAGATGGATTAAATAACCCATGATTGATGTAGGTAATTTAGCAATTTAGCCATTGAGGGGCTAAGCAGTTTTAAAAGCATCTTTCCCAAGTATACTACTAACAGGCATAAAACCAGGCATTTCCTAAAGCAATTTACAGGAAGAGTTTTCATGGGGACCCATGACAGACTCTTAGTTCTTTCAGAGTCAGAAGAAATTTTGGATCCTGAAGGGTACGTTTTTCTTTCTGATAGGTTTATCACATCCCTGAAGCTAATGCATGTTCTTCTTTTCTTTAGAATAGTAAGTGAAAGAATTGGAAGAACATTTTCTTAATTCTGACTGTTAAGCAAAGCTGGGACAAAAAGGATTGGAAGCAAATAAAAAGGAAAAGATTTCTACTAGGTAAAGGGGAACAAAACTCAAGAAGAGCTGGAAGGAAGGTCATGAAAAAATATAAACAATAGGTTATCAATGAAAGAGCATAGTAGATGCAGGCTTTTTTTTTTTTTTTTTGGATGCAGGCTTTTTGCTTCCCTGAGGGTAGTCCTAAGCATTGCATCCTAGGCTCCTGAGAACAGAAAAGGTTCACAGGTTCTGGCAGGTGGGAGGCAAAAATGCTGTTGCTACTTTCAGTGGGAATTGTTCAGGGATACCTGCTGCCTCCCTCCCAAGGGGCCTATGTTCACCAGGAGTGTGTGTACCTGGCAGGCTGAAGAGCTTACCAACTAGTCATGCCCACCCATCACTTCCTGGTTCTGTTGGCCACAAGTTCACATATGATGACTGTTGGAAGCAAAACCTTGAACAGGGTTATTCCAATGACAGTGAGGTCTGGGGAGGAAACCGAAGCACTTATCACATCAGATAGTGTTTGCTATTCTTCTGCTTAGCCCTGGCTTTGGAAAGAAAGGAATCTGTAAAAATGAACAGCTAGATTTAGGCAGGTGACACTGATTAGAAGCAATAGATTATTTTGGGTCATGGCCAAGTAGGCTATAAAGCTAGGCTTCTGTCAGGTGGAATGTGCTCTTCAGACTGGAATAATCTCCCATGGGTGACACTCATTTATTCAAGCGTTTATCATTTATTTATTTTACAAATATTTAGAGCCTCTATAAGCCAGGCTGATTTAGGATTCATGGTGAGCAGGAACAGACATTTTGAGAAAGTTAGGAAAAACCTAAATATTTCCCTACCAAGTACCAAACCAGTGACCATAAAGGACAGCACAGTATATAATTGTGCTGGTAGCATAGGGATAAAGCAAGAGAAGACAAGCGAACAGAACCAGTAAGTGATGAAAGAGGATCCCAGAATCAAGGAACCAATCAGCTTGATGGCCATTTTGGGCACTGTTATATTATAGAATAAACAGATGGTTGTGATAATTTATGAGTTATTACAGTGTACCCTTTATAAATATGAAGGGTGTGATTTTCTTTCTGGTAGGTTTATCATATCCATGCAGCTACTGCATACTCTAAATAGAAAGTGAACAATTAAAAGAACTTATTTCTGACCTGTTAAGCAAAGATGGAACAGAACAGATTGTAAGCAATTAAAAAGGAAGAGGTTTATGCTAGCTAAAGGGAACAAAAACCCAAGAGAGTCTGGGAAGAAGGATGGTTGTATGAAATGAATGGGAAGAAAAAGTCCCGCTATAATGTGTGAAGGCCATGTTATGTCTGGACCACTGCACTCAGTCTCCTACACTGAACCCTGCCAACTCCTTTTTAGGAGCTATGTAGACCAGTTAGAATATTGTCAGGAGAGCAGCATACTAAGGGATCCACAAACTATGTTTCTGCAGTTGGAGGATGTTTTCTGGTGGGGGTGAAAATGGAAGAAAAGTGATTCCTGACTTCAGGTGTCAGGAGAGCTTCACTGCCCCTAAGAGGCAGGAACAGGTATGGTCTCTGTTGCGTCAATGGCGGGTAGAGAGATCAGGACTCTGAAGTAGAGAAGCAATCTGCCCAGGTGGGAGCTGTCCAGCACTACTGCTGCTGCCTCTGGAGAAAGTGAGCTTCCTGTCCAAGACTCCTACGGTGGGTTGGAGGCTGGATTAGATCATTTCTAAGAAACTTTCCTGCCCTGAATTCTGTGTTTCTATGATATTGGGGGAAAACACATCACAAAAATTTATAACCTCAAAGCAGTATTACCACCCCACAAACACACTCTTTCTCAAATCCCCTAAATTATTTAAGGCCTAGAATTTCACTTCAGATCTTGTGTATATCTTAAATTCTAAGAGAACTCTTTTCCAGTCCCCTTGCATTCTGGATGGGGCTAAACATGATCCCAGAATGTGACTCTGACAGCAGCAGTTACTCTTGGAATCCATCTCAGCCTGAGATGAGTCCTTTCCAACTTCCCTTTTTGCTTCTGATGAGTTTGAACATCTATCTCCTAGGGCTTCTCCAAGATTTTTCTGTTATCTTATTTTGAGGAGTCATGAAATTAGGGTAGGAAGAAAAGCCTTAAAAGTCTCTTAATTCAACTTTTGATAACTTCATTCACTTAATTCAACAAATATTTATTGAGTGCCTACCATAAGCCAGGGCACAGCTGGGGATCTTGGTAAACTTGTATTATCTTTTCTCTCATCCATCCTATACTTATCTAACTTTTTTGTCCTTCTGCCCTTATATCTGCTTGTAATTACTCATACATGAAAGGAGTGGAAAATAAATACTCAGAAATAAGCAGTGGATGAGTGTCCCTAGAAATGAGAGACAAAATCTAGGCTGAGAGTAAGCAGTTGCCCAAGCATTACTCGTAGTATGGATAGTCTACCCACTGTGATTATTGGGAGCTGACTATATGCTTGGAATAGAAATTTCTAAGTATCTAGTAAAGATATCCTAGGTTATTTTTATTGCATTGTATTCTTCCTCTTCTTCATTGTTATCCTGCTTTGTCTTGATCAGCTTTCTGCGGCTCCTCTGGGCACTGATTGTTAGCACCTTGATGTATCTGCCACTTATTAGCAATGGTGCTGAGATACTGAGTGTTCTAGCAGGGAATGCAGGTATCATACTAGTGAGGAAAAATGACAAGAAATAAAGGTTGGATATTCTGTAATGTCAATCAAACCAACATGCCAATATTCAGCTTGATAATTTGTTCTTGTTCTACAATTTCAGCAACGGATAAATTGGGCTTATAGCCACCACTGTCTTTGTGCAGTGTCACCAGAAAATAGAAATAAATAGAGAGGGCCAGAAAGTTAAAAGATGAAGAGGTGAAAGCTGCAAGGATTTACTCCCACTGTATTCAGCACAAGAGAACTCAAGTTATGGAATCTGTCATCACTGAATGTGTCTGTTGTAAGGGCCTGTTGAGATGTGTCGGTGGTATCTTGCCCTTTGCTCTGAAAGTGAAAGTGAAAATGAAAGTTGTTCAGTTGTGTCTG